TTACATTTGATGATTTATTAAAATACTTTTAATAATTTTTATTTTTGTAAATACCTTTTTACCCTTTATTAATCAAAAAAATTTCAAATAATAGTTATAAAAAGAGATTTATGCTATTTATTGTTGGATATAAAGTATATTTAACAGATCTATATATTTATAACGAACGTTTCTGTAAATAAAAAAAAAATTTAATTATCTTGTTTATCTTATCTTGTTTATCTTACCAATATTACAAGATATTATCACGTTTAGAATAATAGTTAATCATATTATTAATTAATAGCGGTTCTCGACGACAACACCTAATGAGTTCTGCGTTTTTTTATTTTTTAGCTACTATTTCTTTTCTTATCTTGTAAACTTTTTAAACGAAATCTTGTTTAAAGTGTAATAAAAAACAAACAAACCATATGTATTTATGTGTATATATATATTATATATATATATATATATAATATATATATATATATATATATATATATATATATATATATATATATATATATATATATATATATATATATATATATATATATATATATATATATATATATATATATATATATATATATATATATATATATATATATATATATATATATTTATATATATATACTTATCTAATCTGGGAAGGCTATGAAGAGTAGGGGCGCAAATAACACGTCTCTTAACAATAAAACTCTTAAGAATTCTGTAGTAATGCATTACATGTATTACACCAATTTTTTATTACAATTACTTAAATATGTTTTTAATGATATGAAGTAAAACTTGGCGTTAAAATATGATAATGATGATATGATAGAATATTTCCGAATACGTACGTGATTCGGAAACTAAAAAATAGATCAGAAACGGAAAACAAATTTTGGCAATTTTTACAAACCTCAAGTTTTATATGGTATAAGACCTTAATAAAATATTATAACAGTTTCAAGATTTTTTTCAAAATTGTCCAAATACAGTTTTTCTACCTTTGCTTCCGCTACAAAGTTTATTGGCTATATTTATATTGTTCAGTTCATCAGTTTTGTGTGTGTATATTTTTAACAGCATACACCAGTTTAACCATGCTTGGTTCATGATACTTTTTAACCAAGTTTTGATTGTTCTTAGTGTGCTGAAAGCTGTCTTTGTTGCTGGTATCAGAAGGACAAGTTTTATCAACTTCCTGATTTCTGATAATGGTTACTTTTCAGCTTCATTTCTTTCTCTGTAAAATACAAAAAAATATGTGTTATATTAGCATATAAATTCGCATTGTAG